CATTTTTTTGTTGAGTTTTGTGTATTTTTATAGGATAATAATCTAAAAATGTCCCAATAAAAATAAACTTTAAATAAATAAATAAAAACGAGCTGATGAAGTGATGAAGTGATGAATTGATGAACTGATGAATATGATGAACTGATGAAGTGATGAAGTGATGAATATGATGAAGTGATGAATTGATGAAGTGATGAATATGATGAATATGATGAATATGATGAACTGATGAATATGATAAACTGATGAACTGATGAATTGATGAACTGATGAAGTGATGAACTGATGAAGTGATGAACGGATGAACTGATGAATATGATGAAGTGATGAAGTGATGAATATGATGAACTGATGAAGTGATGAATATGATGAATTGATGAACTGATGAAGTGATGAATATGATGAACTGATGAACTGATGAATATGATGAATATGATGAACTGATGAATATGATGAACTGATGAATGGATGAAGTGATGAAGTGATGAAGTGATGAATATGATGAAGTGATGAATATGATGAACTGATGAACTGATGAATATGATGAAGTGATGAAGTGATGAATATGATGAAGTGATGAATATGATGAATATGATGAACTGATGAAGTGATGAATATGATGAATATGATGAACTGATGAAGTGATGAATATGATGAACTGATGAACTGATGAATTGATGAAGTGATGAAGTGATGAATATGATGAATATGATGAACTGATGAAGTGATGAATATGATGAACTGATGAAGTGATGAATATGATGAAGTGATGAATATGATGAACTGATGAATATGATGAATATGATGAACTGATGAAGTGATGAATATGATGAACTGATGAATTGATGAAGTGATGAAGTGATGAATATGATGAACTGATGAATATGATGAAGTGATGAAGTGATGAAGTGATGAATATGATGAACTGATGAACTGATGAATATGATGAACTGATGAAGATGAAACCATCTTCGCACCGGTAGTAGAACTCTTACAGCCCGGTTGGCCCCGCCCCCTCCGGACCCTCCGTCCTTTACACATGCGCAGTCTCCGCCCTGCTGCTTCCTCTTTTACTGTGGCAGTGAGCGAGAGACACCATGAAGGCGTCCGGCACAGTACGTAAAACTCTTTATTTACCGGTATCTACGTGCAGCACACGGGCTGTATGAACCGATCTCGCTTTATAAAGTCACGTTCGTCCGATTTCTGCATTAATGTCCCCGTAAAGTTCACTTTAACTCAGAATTTGAGTCGTTTTCGTTCGCGTTGCGTTGTGCGGCTCCAACATGGCGGCCGCGGTACCATGTGGACGACGGCGGCTCGAAATGAGACAAAGTGTGTTTATAATTAGAACCGTGTGTTGAATTGATTATCCACTCACAGTTAAAGATCAATAACAGCTCTTATTAACTTATTAACGTCATTAATATTGACGTTAAATTGTGTTTAACGTTCGCGATGGCTAATAATGTGCTAACCTGGCTAACGTTAGCTCTCAACGTGGACACACACTTCAGTTTATATCGGGTCCAAGAAGATTAAAGTTCAGTATGAGTGTAAAGATATATCTGTGCAGAAGCGTTGCTGTCGCTAACAGGTTGTTACCAACTCTCGCGAGATACAGCGCAGCTTCGTTGAGCTGATTATCAATATCTGGATCGATAAATGAGCCTGCAACACTTTTATTTTGTAAAGCGAGAACAGAAGTTATTTTGGGACTCTTGAGACTGACAACCTGGAAACCAATAATCAGCATTGATTACAATAAATACAATGTGATACATTGATTGGTTTTATTGATTATCCTGTATCGATCTGTCCATGTGACCCAGTATAAACTGTAAGAATATTAATATATCGTATAAAACGAAGCTCGTGTCACTTTAGAATCTGTTTTAATGTCCGGTGAGTTTATTGAAAATCTGTTTCAACAGTTTTATTTTTCCAGTTAAAGTAACTTGAGTGTAGTTCCTCTGCAGACACAGAGAGCTGTAATGTCTCCATTAGATGCTGCTGACGCCTCCCCACTGGAGATTATTAGTATTATTATTATTATTATTATTAGACCAGGTGTGTTTACGTTCACATTAAAACCACTTTATTGAACGAATGCACCCAAACCCAAAGCTCATATCTGGCGGTGGTATGATTTTGTCTGGTGTGCAAACAGAAATCTGATCCTTGTCGCCTTTCTCTGCCGCTGCAGTGCCTCTGAAAGTGAATTCAAGGGTCAACAGATCTCATCTCTCTTTTAAACGTCTCGCTGTGTAAACTTTTAAACCTTCGTTTGCTAACACGCTTTCTTCTGAACGCAGCTTAGGGAGTATAAAGTCATTGGGCGTCTGCTGCCCTCGGCCAAGAATCCTGCCCCTCCTCTGTACCGGATGAGGATCTTCGCCCCCAACCACGTCGTGGCCAAGTCCCGCTTCTGGTACTTCGTCTCCCAGCTGAGGAAGATGAAGAAGGCGTCTGGAGAGACGGTCTACTGTGGCCTGGTAGGTCTCGTCCAGTCTGGACTCTCGGCTGTGACTCAGTTATTGTTTTATTTGTCTGCGTTAGAGTTTTAAAAGGTTGTTAGAGTCCGTTTACACCTGAAGTCCATCTGATCGCAAACTTTAGTGGTCGACTGTCGGTAGTTCACAGGTTTCCATTATTCTGTGCACATTAATATCTAATATACTTTATTACCCAGGAACACGTTTTAGATGGAATTATTATGAATTGGTGAAATATAAAGAAGCATTGGTTTGAGCTCTAGGAGACACTAACATACATATTTAATGCTAGTAACGGTTTGAAATCAGTTTTATGTAATAAAGGAGAAACGTGTTAACATTAAGACAATGTAAGTTTACAGGATGACAAATAAAGCACTTCAAATACTCCAGATGGTCTCAGTCCAGTTGGACAGCGCCAGAGAGCGTCCCTGCTGTTGGAGACTGTCAGCAGGAGGACGTTGTACGACCTCTGACCCTCCGCATTACGTGCTAATATGTGCATCATTCCTGTTTTTAAAAGGTTTTTTACTACAAGAAATAAAGAAATGTTTGAATTTACAAGAAGACCGTACTTAACAACTCTTAAAACTGCTCTTTTTTAAAGGGAGTCTGGTGATATAAACATTTGACATGTAGCTTCAGCTTTATTTAGCTGTGATAACCTTTCTATATGCACCCAAACCCAAAGCTCATATCTGGCGGTGGTATGATTTTGTCTGGTGTGCAAACAGAAATCTGATCCTTGTCGCCTTTCTCTGCCGCCGCAGTGCCTCTGAAAGTGAATTCAAGGGTCAACAAACTCCAACGATCAACTTCATTATATCGATGAATCTGTCCATCGTTGGCTCATTGTTTCCTCCTCAAATGTCTCCTGTTCTGTCCTCAACTCAAAGAGGAACAGAAAATATTCTCATGTGAAGATAAAATTAGAGAATTTGAATTTGATTATTAAAATAGGGCAGATTAGGAACCCGAGGTCTAAGACAGCAGACCCGGACTTTATATCTGGACTCAATCTCAGTGCTGTTTAAAGTTGGAGGACAGGACCCTGATCTGAGGACACGTTTTAGGGGATTTCATTTGACTTTAGACCTTCAGTACTTTGTCGATATTTGACTTTAAATGTATAACTGTGAAATGACTGACGTCCTGTTCCCGTCTGACTCACGTTCAGGTCCACGAGAAGACCCCCCTGAAGGTGAAGAACTTTGGTATCTGGCTGCGTTACGACTCTCGTAGCGGCACCCACAACATGTACAGAGAGTACAGAGACCTGACCACCTCTGGAGCCGTCACTCAGTGCTGTGAGTACCACACACACATTAACACACATATCAGACACTGGGGGGGCAGTTACCATGGTGATGTAATTGAATCCAACCTTTGAGGTGAATCATTTTCCGTGATGGTGAGATTCCATCAGGCAACAGAAACGGATAAAACAATGTAAACAAACAGCCGATAAGGACCCAAACATCAACATTAGTTAAAAACAGATTCCTGATTAAAATCATTAAGTTTAATAATGAGTGCACAGAGTTAACATGAATGTCCATCTGGGAGAATAAACTGAACATACAGCTGTACCTCAATGAAGCTGAGCCACTTCATCATGAACCTGCGTCATTAAACGAGGAAGATTAAACAGGGCTTTGTTAGAGTAAATTATATAACGGAGCAAGTGCTGCCCTGAATGATCAAGAAGTAGCAGACAGCCGTTAACAGTCAGTCAGTGTTTGTAGTCTTTAAATCAAGAGAACTGGATTGTTAGCCTGCTGCTGTTAGCATTATAGCTGCAACCTTTCATAAGGTTTCATCAGTTTCTGGAGGTTTCCGTCCCATCAGAGTGACGCTTGCTGCTCTGTAAAGTTAAAGTCCTGTTAATGAGTCCTTATTTTACCCCAGAAGCTCTGTAATGTCCGCATTGACCTGCAGATGACATATAAATGAAGTTGTGTTAAAATGTCTCCTTTTTCTCTGTCAGATCGCGATATGGGAGCTCGCCATCGTGCTCGCGCCCACTCCATCCAGATCATGAAGGTGCAGGTCATCGCCGCCAACAAGTGTCGCAGACCCGCCATCAAGCAGTTCCACGTGAGTGTCCGGACGGTTTCATGTTGTTTTACTCGGTGTCAGCGGGTCTCTCTCTGGACTGCCTCCACGTTGTCAGCTCCAGTTTAAAAACCCGCCAGACAAAAAAGCCAGATTCCTCTTCCAGATTTCCAGCTTCCATCTTCAAACCTGGCGGTTCTGAAACTGGCGACAGACGCGTTAACGACCGCAGGTTTAAAACGAGTTTGGTTGTATGTAGCTGACCTTTTTATTTCCTCTGATTCCTCCCGCAGGACTCCAAGATCAAGTTCCCGCTGCCTCACAGGGTCCTGCGTCGCCAGCACAAACCCCGCTTCACCACCAAGAGACCAAACACCTTCTACTAAAAGCATTGTTTCATGTTGTGCGGGAAAAAATAAAGAATCTAAACGAAGAGCTGTCGGTTCCTTT